GCTGCGGTGCGGGTGCCGGGGGCTCGCGGCGCGCAGCCGCGTCCTCTCAGTCTCTGCGCAGCGGACCCGCGGACTCAGCAGGCTGGGCGCCGGCTTGGGTAGTCGCGAACCCTGTCCCGGGCGCTGCACGCGCTTAGCCCCCTGCAGCTCTGCGCCCCTCCCGCCTCACGAGGACAGCGCGCCCGGGCGGGAACCTGGGACGAGGCCTGGGGTCCCGGCCTGAGGCCTCTCAACCTGCGCTGCTACATGGGACTGGAACCCGAGGGGCGGCTGAGGTCACCAAGCGATTGGGAGGGGGACAGCCTGGGCCGGTGGCTCACGGCCCTGGGGAACGGAGTTGGAGCTGAGACCCATCACCCCCCACATTTCCGAGATGAAAGGGCCGTCTGGGCCCGGCTATGACCTTCTAGGACGGAAGTGGAGTCTCGGAGGATCCAAACGGCCTCTGATCCGTGCAGCACCCCCACTGCTCAAATGTGGACCAAGGGCCAGGGTGGCCACAGTGGCCGCCTGTGTCCCTGGCCAGCCAGGGGTACACAGATCGTCCCCTGCGTGCAAGGGGCTAAGCAGGAAAGTAGGGGTATGGTGGGGTCGCACTATCATGCTCCTGGTGGGAGATCAGGAAAGGGGGGAGGCCAAGTCCACTGCCCAGGAGCTCCGGATAGGGTCGGAGCCAGCCCTGGCGTGGATGTCAGGGACCCTCACGTGACCTCGGAGCAATGCTCTAGCCTACAGACCACTGGCTTCTACCAGCCCTCCGCGTCTAGCCCCAGACAGGGAGTCCAGGCACTCCCTCGTCTGTCCTGAATGCCAGGCCGCAGGACCGCAGCAGGGCCTGGTTACATCCAACCCTGTGGGGCCTCCCTTCTGCACCCTTGGGCCACAGGTCCCCGTGACCGTGTGACCCCCACCTTGGGCACTGTGAGGAAGGCCCAGGGGCCAGCGGACCCCCTCAGCCACTGAAATGGCCTTGGAGGCCTGGACAGGTGCTTAGGTGGGTTGGGGTAACGCAGGCTACAGGACATCCTGGCTCCCCTGAGCCTGTTTCCTCCTGGGTAACCCGGGGGAGTGGGCGTGCACCCTCTGTCCACAGCCAGAAAACTGAGTCGGAGACTTGGCATCCTCACCCGCTTTGCTTCCCCAAACGGCCAGCTCCCAGAACCTCGGGTGGGTGGATGGGCAGCAAGGACTGCCCAGACCTGAGGCCGGGCTGCCTGTTCAAGGAAGCACGGGGAGGGCCCCAGCATGGGTGTCCAGGGCCATGAAAGGGAGGTCGTGTCCCCATGGATGGGGGGAGAAAGTCCAAGGCCCAGAGCCCTGGGAAAGGAACCCAGACAGAAGTGGGCAGCGGGCTGCAGGAAAGGCACGTTCAGAAAGTAGGAGCCAGACCGCAGGAGACAGCAGGGAAGGGAAGCAGGGCTGGTCCAGAAGGCCCAGGGCACCGCGACCCGGAGAGCTGCAGACTTCAGAGGAGGCTGGGTCAGCAGATGGAACTAGATTCCGGGTGAAAGTGCCCCATGCCTTCAAAGCAGTATTGGCCGCTCCCTGGGGCAGAGAGCAGCCCTTGTCACAGAGGTGCTAGCCATCACCCAGACTTTACAAAAGAAAGGAGGGAGAAGGGGCCAGAGGCTGGGCAGTCAGGAGGCCAGGCAGCAGCCCGAAGGAGAGGGCCCCGCACAGCCCTGCGGCGAAGTGCAGAAGGTGCTGCTGATGACCAGCTTGGGCCCAGCAGCCTGCAGGGGAGGGAAGGGCACATGGGGTCTGGGACAGGTGACTCCTGGCCAGATGGACTGCGGGTGGGGACTCAGCAGTGGGCATACAGGGGCCAGCAGGAGCCCTGCTGAGTGGGCTGTCATGGCCCCGGACAGACTGGACACCAGTGGCCTTGACCACAGGGAAGCAAAGCATCACTGGCTCCCTCCTCTGCCTGCCCAGAAATGCCAGCCAGGCCTCCCCACCTCTGCCTGTCTCAGTTCAGCCAGGGTCCAAAACGGGGTCAGCCTGGCCTGCAGCATACACCACCCGCCCCGTCCCGCCCGAGACACCTGGCTCCTTTGCCCATTTCCAGGCCACAGGGACCTTGGCCAGCACAGCCTCAGCCTTCTCTCCCAGGGCTTCCCATCCATGGCTTCTTGAGCCCTGCTGACCGGCACCCCATCCTGATGGCTGTTCCCAAACACACCTGGAACCCAGCTGCTTTGCCATGGCCACTCCCTCAGCTCTGCCACTCGCACGTGTCCTCACAGAGCCCGCTCTCCACCACAGCCAGGGCGTCCTGTCCAGCCCTAACCTCTGCTTGCTCCAGATCCTGAAGGTGGCCAGGCATGGCACCTTTCATCCCAACACTGGGAGGCCGCGACAAGAGGACTGCAACTCATGCCCAGCCTGGGCCGTTTAGTGACTTACTGAGACTGTCTCAAAAATTTAAAAAATAAAAAGGACTGAAGATGTAGCCCAGTGTTTAGCCCCTGGGTATGGCCGCAAGATAGAAATGCCACGCCTCCCTTCTGCCACCACCAGCCCCTACTCTTCCTGTGGCCCCTGGGACCCCGCAGGTGGATAGGAACATGCCTACCAGCCTCCTGGTGCCACCCACCAGCCTGACTGGCACCCACTCCCACCTCGGGGCCCCAGGGGGAGGCCCTTGGATGCTTTCCCCAAAGTCCCATGCTTTATAGCTTGCTGGTCACTGGATAAACAGTCTAGATCTGTCCCAAATGCTGCATGGGAAATACTTATACTGAAAAATACTCATGAATGTGCCCCGTCTGGTGGCACACGCCTAGAACAAACTCTATCTCCCGCCTCCCCTGCCATGAATCTGCCTTGGGTTCCCACCATGTGTGACTACAAGTCAACCACAGCCTGGGCTACTTAGAGAGGCCCTTCATCGAAATAAAAAGATGATGTGGCCTTGCCCCCCTGTGCACTGCACTCCTCTCTAGCAATGTGTGTGCCTTCCTGCGGCAAAAGCTGTCAACTGCATTTCCAAAAGCAGTTATGTGACAAATAGAGAAAAGGAACAGTCCCTTGCTTCACCTGGAGCTCACCTGCCAGGCACCATGTATGTAGATGTACACGGGGACCAACTCACAGCCAGCTGTCCTCAGTGGCCAGGCAGGACCAGCCAGTGCCCACCCACCCTGTCTCCCCAAAGCCCCAGGCTCCAGGGAGTCCCGCTGCAGCTGTCCCCAGCCCCGACACAGAGGAGTCTTGCGGGGGCCGGAGACTCTGGCCTGTGTCTGCGGAGAGGGGCAGTCGAGGCTGGACTGCGAGGGCTATGCCCAGTGCCTGTGGAAGCAGGGCCACTGCCTGCATGGACAAGGGCACAGAGCAGGTGGTGAGAATGGTAGCCCCTCCACCTGGACAGCCAAGGAAAACAAGGCCCGGAGTCTCCCAACCAGGGACTCCTGGGGCACCCAAAGAACTCTGGTGGCCGCAGCAGGGAGACAGGATGCAGGCTGAGGGCAGAGTTTATTGACAGAAGACAGTACTGGCTGGGGTGGTTAGCGCCCAGCTGGCCAACAAGCACACAGGGCCCGGCGCTCGGCCTGCAGCAGGAGGGTCTCCGTCTGCAAAGCAAGAAGCAGATAGGTGGCACAGCCCGGGGTACCCACTCCAGGATGCTCCACCCACCCAAGCCTCTAGCACCACTCTCCTGTCCTGCAGACCTGCTCCCCTCAACACCCATGCCTTCCCCAGCCCACACCCCACCTCTTAGTGGGCCCAGGACACAGTGTGTGCCCGCGAGCACTGTCCACAAGAGAGCTCAGGGCTCGTGGGGCTGGGTCCTTCCTATTTCCAGGAACTCCCTGTCACTAAGGACAGGGTCTGAGGGTCCCTGCCCATCGCCCTGGGGGAGGCGCCAACCCCCCCAGGCTGGACCTGTGTGACCTCCCATCCCCCACACCGGCCACACCCTCTTCCCAGCCCCGTCCTCTCTGCCCTGGCCTTAGACCCTCCCCGGGCATCTGGGGTTGGGGAGACCCCTTCCTTCTCTGCCACAGCAAATGGGACAAGGCCCCAATGCCCTGGACCCCGAGGGGCGCGCTGGTGTGAGACCTGCACCCAGAACCCCAGGGGTAACTTCCGGGAGCCGGGGCGGAAAGGAGACGAGGATCCGAGTGGGGCTCACCCGCGCGTCCAGGCTGTAGGCCGTCTTCCGCAGGTCCTGCAGCGCGCGCTGCATGAACTCGAACGCGTGGCAGTCCACGCACGGGCGACCTGCGGGCGCGGGCAGCGTCACCCCGAGGCCCACCGAGCGCCAGAAGACGTCCCCACACCCACCCAGGTGGCCCACCGCGCGCGCACCGCTCCCGGGAACAAAGGCGGGTGGGACCCGCGGCACTTACTCTGCGCGGGGACGGGGCTCCCGGCCGGGGACTCGGCGCCGGCGCCCAGCAGCGCCACGCTCAGCAGCAGGAGCAGCAGCGGCGGCGGCGGCAGCAAGCACCCGCACGCGGGC